CAAGATATAGGCATAGGAAAAGACTTCTTGAAAAAACCCTAAAGCACAGGCAACCAAAGCCAAAATTAACAAGTGGGATTACATCAAACTGAGAAGCTTCTGCACTGCAAAAGAAATACTCAGAAAACTGAAGAGGCAACTGACAGAATGGGAGAACATGTTTGCAAACTATGCGACTGATAAAGGATTAACATCCAGAATCTACAAAGAACTCAAGTAACTCAACAACAAATAAACAATCCAATTAATATATGGGTAAAGGAATTGAGCAGACATTTTTCAAGAGAGGAAATTCAAATGGCCAATAGACACATGAAAAAATGCTCAGGACCCCTAGTCATCAGAGAAATGCAAATCAAAACCATAATGAGGTTTTACTTCACTCCTGTAAGAATGGCCCACATACAGAAATCAACAAACCACAAATGCTGGCAAGGATGTGGGGAGAAGGGTACCCTAATCCCTTGTGGTGGGAATACACTGGAACAGCCACCATGGAAGACAGTATGGAGATATCTCAGAAAGCTGAATATAGACCTACCATATGATTCAGCCATCCCACTCTTGGACATTTATCCAAAGGAAATGAAATCAACATACGAAAAAGTGATCTGTACTCCTACATTCTTTTCAGCTCAATTTGTAATTGCTAAGTTGTGGAATCAACCCAGATGTCCATCAACTGAAGACTGGCTTAAGAATTTATGGTATATATACACTATGGAATACTACACAGTGGTAAAAACGTGAAATCCTGTCATTTGCAACAAAATGGATGCAACTGATAACCTTTATACTTAGTGGAATAATCTAGTTGCAAAAGGACAAGAACTATATGGTCTCTCTGATCTGTGGAAACTAATAGAGTAACTAAAATATAATCTATAGGAGCAAAACTAACACTTTGAGATGACACGAGTTTAAATAGCTCTTGCCTTGACTGTCAGGGAACAATGATTTCCTTGCTTGCTTGCTTGTTTTTGTTCTTTCTTTTTTTTCCTTCATATTAATTGGTGAATTCTACCTGGTATAGGGTTAATCTTAAGGGTTAAAAATAAGTTAAAATTAATCTCTGTGAAAAACAAGTATGAGAAAGGAAGTGGGAGGATAAAAAAGGGGGGGGGGAGAAGCATCTTGTTTCCAATTCTATATATATATATATTAAATACATGAAGTTGTATTCCCTAAAAATCAAAAAAATAAATAAAATTAAATTAAAAAATAATAATAACAATAGTAATTATTGATAGTAGATTACCAACCTGAGTGCTAGATTTTTATTTGTTTTTATCTTGCACATAATATTTACAGGGTACTCTGTGATAGTTTGGTACAAAACACATTATAAATGTTATAACCCAGGTAAATGTAACTATTTCATTCAGCTTTCATTATTCCTTTTTGGTGTAACCATTAAAAATTAGAAAAATACCTAGTGTTATGTCATTTTCCATAGTCAGGCCAGTGTATAATAGAACACCAAAATTTTTCACCCCATCTCACTATAATCTAATTGCAGTTTACTAAGCTTTACTCACATTTTCTACCCTGCTATTATCCCTAGCCTCTGACATCAACATTCTATGCCCAACCATCATGAGATGAACTTTGTTAGGTTATGAATATGAGTGAAATTTTGCAGTATATGTTTTTCTGTGCCTGGCTTATTTCTCTTTTAAAAAACATTTATTTTTATTTATTTGAAAGACAGAGTTATTGAGAGAGGTAGAATCAAAAAGGGAGAGAGAGGTATTCCATCCACTGTTTCACTCCCCAAATAACCACAACAGCCAAATCTGAGCTGATCTGAAGCCAGGAGCCAGGAGCTTCTTCCGGGTCTCCCACACTGGTGCAGGGGCCCAAGGACTTGGGCCATCTTCTGCAGCCTTCCTAGGCCACAGCAGAGAGCTGGATGAGAAGCAGAGCAGCCAGGACTCGAACCAATGCCCTTATGGGATTCCAGCGCTGAAGGAGGGGTTTTAATCTGCTGCACCACAGCGCCAGCACAGGCTTATTTCAATTAGTCTAAAAACTCAATATTCACTTATAGAATGGAAACAAACAAGATTTTATCCTTTCTATAGCTGATTAGTATTTGATTGTTTATATATGATACATTTTCTTTATCCATTCACCAATGGATGGACCAATATCACTGTTTCCACTTCTTGTTTTTGACTCTGGGATAGCTTCTGTGACCTTTCTAGGTAAAATTTTTTTTTTTGGACAGGAGAGTTAGGGAGAAAGAAAGATACAGAGAGAAAGGTCTTCCTTCCGCTGGTTCACCCCTCAAATGGTTGCCACAGCCGACGCGGTGCGCCGATCTGAAACCAGGAGCCAAATGCCTACTCCTGGTATCCTATGCTGGTGCAGGGCCCAAGCACCTGGGCCATCCTCCACTGCCTTCCTGGGCCACAGCAGAGAGCTGGACTGGGAGCAAACAGGACAGAACCGGCACCCCAACCGGACTAGAAATCGGAGTACTTGTGCCGCAGGTGGAGGATTAGCCTAGTGAGCCATGACGCCGGCCCCTCTAGGTAAATTTTAACAATGAGGTTTTTCCTTTCAAAGAACATTCACACTGCTTTTTACTGTCTGTGTTTCCAAAGAAAATGTAAGGTATTAGGGAGAGCACAAAGTATGCCTACATTTTTTCTCTACACATCCAGCACTTGCCTCTCTTGTGTCCTAATCTCTATATGAATATACAACAAATTAAAAACCAATATTTTCTTATGTGATGAATAAAGAAGACCTTGATACAACTGACTCTATTCTCAAAGTCTATTAGATATTCTGTTTTTCTATGATAATGAAATCTGCATACATATGATGGTATAGAAATGTACAAAATGATTTTAAAAAATTCATAGAAATGTTAATTGTGTTCTAGTTCAAAAATGCCTAGTACTTTGTGAAATCCTCTCATTCCATGATCTCTTCCTATGAAAAAGATGCCTAAATGAAGAACGCAGAGTCATTCCCACTACAAATTGTGAATGAAAAAGGAAAGCAAACAGGAATATATTTACCTTGGGCAGAGGTTGTGCAGGTTTGCAGTGAAGCCCTCCAACAAAATAAGAGTTTGGCAGTAGTGGGCGAGGAAACTCCAAATCCCAGTAGCTCCGAATGAGCCATATTTCAGCTTTCCCCACTAGCTCAGAGAATGTAACAGGTCTTCCTGAATGGAATAAAATGAGGAAAAGGTAGGGTAACAAGAGAATTGTTACATGAAGTATACCACATAACTAAATGTAATGATGTGGTCATTGATGTATAAATAATCTGTGCATTGATAAAACTAATGTTTATGTAATACAACATTTGTATATAAATATACTATGCATTGTTTGCATATTAGATATATGCAAATGAAATGCCTTTAATATTAATTCAGTATAGTCATAATCCTGGTTATCAAAATAGGGCATTATAAAATAAAATGTGCATTTTTTCCTCTTCAAGGTTATGAGAGTTGCATTTTTTAAATAAGAACACTATTTTTTCCATACTTCTTCTTGAACTCTTAGTATAGAGTTAATCTCATGTGTACAAAGTTAATTAAAAATAGATCTTATTAAAAAATAAAGAATGTGGATTGGAGATGTAGGAAGAAGTGTGAGAATACCAGTGGAAGGGCTGGTAGGGTGGAATTACTATGTTCCTAAAGTTGTATTTTTGAGTGCATGAAGTTTGTATACCTTAAATAAAAGGTTTCTGGGGAAAGAAAGAGAGAGAGAGAGAGAGAGAGAGAAAGAGAAAGAAAGAAAGAAAGAAAGAAAGAAAGAAAGAAAGAAAGAAAGAAAGAAAGAAAGAAAGAAAGAAAGAAAGAAAGAAAGAAAGAAAGAGAAAAAAGAAAGAAAGAAAGAGAAGCGAGGGAGGGAGGGAAAGGAGGGAGGGAGGGAGGGAGGGAGAGAAGGAAGGAAGGAAGAAAGAAAGGAACATTGTTGGCCTCCACATGTGTCATCTCCTTGCTAATTAGTTTAATAAGTTCATTTCTGTGGGCTGTCCTGGGAGGCCCATACTGTCGAGGTGGTGGGGCAACGACATTCTTTGACAAGAAACACTGGAGACAGTTTCAGTGAACATGTCTATTTATTAGCAATTAGGCATAAGCTTTTATAGGGAAGGCAAATGGGAATAGCTAGCTCAGGGTAGCAACACTAATTCCATAAGTTAAAGCCAGCACCACTATGCTTCTCCAATAGCTTGAAGGTAACATAGTCCACGTAGCCTTCCAGGTGGTCTTACAGGTCTGGGTCACATCCAGGAGCTTTTTATAGAGCTGACAATTACAAGGCCTATCAACAGGAAGCAGGGTGGGGGAAATATGTCTGGGGACCCTGCCTTGTGCCAGCAATCAGGTCATACTGGGTCTCAGTGTGTTGAGAATCCAAACAGGGTTTCTTCTGGAGGGCATGCTGTGCCATGTCCTCTTGACTCCCTGCATGGCTAGGCAGGCAGTCTTCCAGCCAGGAACAGGATCACCCACACATTTCTTCTGAATTCACTATGATTAAAATTTTTTTTCATACATATTTGCATTTAAACAAGACTTTAGGTATGACACAGATGATTTACAAGTACTGAAGGAATGTGTCAACACTACAAACCCCAATTTCCAGGTTTTCTTTCTCAAAAAACCTCTGTATCTCCAAAACATGAATGGCTCCTTAGGTAATATGGAATACGTATTTTAATTTTGATTGAATCACCAAATTTATGCAAGGAATGATTCTTTCCTCAAGGTTACATAGATAGTAGTCCTAGAAATGAATGTAACAAATCAATCCACATGTCTTCATTCATCAAAATATTAGAGAAGTGTTCCCTCACATTTTATAACATATGAGAATTGACTGTGATATTTGTTCTCAAACAATCTGTGTGTGTGTGTGTGTGTAAACTGTTGAAATCAGTGTAGAGTATAGAGTAGCTCTCAGATGTACAAAGTTAAATGAAATAGAATCTTAATAGAGAATGATACTAGGAAGGGGAGAGGGAGAAGGACGAGGAGGGATGGGAGGGTGAGTTTGGTGGGAAGAATAACTATATTCCTAAAGCTGTATATATGAAATTTGTATTTCTTAAAAGATAAATAAATAAATTAATGTTTAAAAAAGAATAGATGCTATATTGAAAATCAAATTGCTTAAGGAAATTTTTGGTGCTTTATTTGTAGCTGTGTGATTTCCTGAAATGACTCATCTAAGGAGCGAGACACTGGCTTCTAACTGACTCTGTAAGGTAAGCCTTTTCATAATATTTCTGGGATTACAAGAATTTCTTACATTAACATTTTGTTATTCTACCTATAAAAGGCTAACTCTCTTTATAGTACATTCAAACAAACTCTGCAACAAAGTCATAGGAAAGTTGAGAATTCACATAAACAACTAAAAATATGACTTACCTAGAACTTCACTGCAAAACTGATCCCACCTCTTCACATTCAACATTTGGAACCAAAAGTCAAAATAAAGCATCCATAGCATATTTTTTACCCTCTCCATGAATGTCATTTGCCCACTTAAATCTGACATAATAACAGGCACATAGGAAGGAGGAAATAGAAGTCCTCCACTATATTTTTCATAGGTGTAGCCAGGAGTGAAGCGTACACTGTACACAAGGGGTCTGTTCAGTAGCTCAGCCAGCAGCTCACCGCAGGGAGCAATTGGGTCTGCAAGAACAACATCAAACCTTGATTCTTGAAGCTTTGCCATGATTTTCTTGTTCAAAACCAAGTCCTTACAGATATTTTCATAATTATCAGAATATTCCATGAAAAACTTTTGCCATGTTTGAAAATATTCCCAAAGTGCATCTTTTGACACGTCATTTGTCAACTTATTAAGCCAATACATGAAAAATGCTTCCATTTCATCTTTAGTGGAAGTTGTAGGAAAAGTTTCAAATGTAATTCCTGATTCATCATTGCTATTAACTAAAATAGAAGCAGAAGATCTCAGAACAGTTACTGCATGACCTCGCTGGACAAGTGCATCCAGGATTGTCTTCATATTCATCCAGTGACTGAATTCCATAGGCCACACCAGCACCTTCCCACAACTCCCAGAGCTGAAGCAGCAACTCAGCTGCAGCAGCAGCAGCAGAATTGAAACATATTTCACAGACATCCTGGGGAAATGTGATGCTTCTTTTCCACTTGCTGTTCCTTTATTCTGCACCTCATGATTTTTCCAAGAAGAAATTTCACAAATAGTTAAAATATAACTTGAATTGATTAAAATGAATACACAATATGAAGAAATAGAGTTTATGGACATGGATAGTGGATGGAAAAGCCAAATTAGATGTTGTCCTGATAAGTGAGTACTTTATGGTCTCTTTTATGATTAAGTGATTCATCCAGACCTAAAGCAATGCCTGATGTGTAAACCAAGTGTGCTATGAAAGATATTTTTAGAGAAGTTGCCAAAACACTGGCAAGTGAGGTGACTTACATCTGCAACCTCGCTGACACTGAAGTAGTGCATCTATTCAAAATGTACAATTCATTATTTCATAGAATATTCCCATGTAAGTGTAACTACCATCACTATCAATTTTTGAAAATTTTCTCTTTTCTTTTTTTTTTATTTATTTGACAGGTAGTTATAGACAGAAAGAGAGACAGAGAGAAAGGTCTTCCTTCGTTGGTTCACTCCCCAAATGGCCCCTACAGATGGAGCTGCGCCAATCCGAAGCCAGGAGCCAGGTGCTTCTTCCTGGTCTCCCACGCGGGTGCAGGGGCCCAAGCACTTGAGCCATTCTCCACTACCCTTCTGGGCCACAACCGAGAGCTGGACTGGAAGAGGAGTGACAGGGACTAGAACACATCGCCCATATGGGATTCTGGCCCAGCAGGCTGAGGATTAGCCAAGTGAGCCATGGCGCCAGCCCCTGAACATCTTCTCACCTGCAAAGCAGCCCTGTACTCATTCTTTCTTGTGACCCCTCACCTCACCAATTTATGATTCCTCTGTCCTAGGCAATTACTAATTTATGTTTCTATTGATTTGCCTATATGGCCAAGTTATGTAAATTGGAATATTCCTGTTGAGTGACATCCTACTTGAGGAGTGGACAGCTAAGCTATAGTTTTAATTTTCCTCATCAGGAATCCCCCATCTCTGAGTGTTGGCAATGGACCTCGGTGGGCATTACTTGCTGGAAATTAGAATTCTCAGTGCATTATGCCTGATTAGAATCCCTCCTTGTAATAGGAATAATACTCAATGAAGGAAAGGAGACTTTTCTATCCCACACTTTTCTGGAATTAGCTTTTGATATACAGAGCAGGGCTGTTGTGAGAAAGATAGGAGGATTCAAACCCTTTATTGGGTAACGGAGCTCTGCTTGATATAGCCTTCAACTGGGAATAATGGGGAAAAACAGTCCATTGGTCTAGGCTGTACCCACCTGAAGTTAACTTCTGTGACTCTGGACTTGGAAGCTGGGAGAGGAAGCAGGTAGTTTCCCTCTTTGTTTCTTTGTTTTGTTTTACTATTAAGTCTTGAATCTCTCTCTCTCTCTCTCTCTCTCTCTACCTCTCTCTCTCTCTCTGTCTGTCTACCTCTCTGCCTCTCTCTCTCTCTGTCTCTCTTCCTTTTGGCATTATGTCCTTAAGAAAATTCCCAGAAATTGTGTCATTGTGTTTTTAAACAATTTTCAGTAGTTTTTCTTTTTTTTTTTTTTTGCTGTGGATCTGGTCCATGGACCTACTCTTGCTGCCACGTGAAGAGTATTTTTCTTGTCAACTTTCTGTCTATGAATATAAAAATTGTTTAAAATTATTGACATTTTCAGTACTCTCTCAAATAAACATTATCTTTGGATAATGTTCCTATGAATATATGTTTTCTCTATATTGTAATTTCAAAAGTATATGTAAAATGCCCTAATGAACAAGAATAAATGGGTACTACTTGGGTTTCTATTGCTTCTTTTCAACAACACTTTGTTATGCAGGTTAAAGACTGCATTTAAAACAAATGCTTGAAACTGTATTAGATACCATGGTTATAGAAAATTAGGAAAATGTAGATACAAAATATTAAAATATTTGTTCTGGCTGTTCACCAAGGGAGTTGCTGTTATTCATGAAGCTATACATCAATATGAAATGCATGTGTTGTCCATTTTAACATGTAAAACTGATGTTAAGTTTTTAAATTTACCACTATTTATTTGGTTCTATATTACTTAACATGTATGTATAGACATATTTAATATAAAATAATGTATAATTGAGTATATATAATATTTGTAAATATACTATGCATTGGTCACATATTTGATACATGCAAAGATGTGTCTAATATCCACAATATAAGCACAATTTTTGTCACTAAAATAGGCCATCATATAACTAAGCATGCATCATTTTCTTTCTAAAGCTACAAAGTATTAGAGTCAAATGAGAACAACTATTTTAGCTGTTGAGTCAAGAAATATTCTACAGTAATCAGAACAGGGTTTCTCCAGAGCAGGTGCTCAGTCCAGTTTCCAGTTTACCCAGCTGATTCCTGATCTTTGACTTTCCAGATGAACTGAGGAGTGGGTTTTTGCTGATGTTTTGCTATTGCTGTTGTTGCTAGTTTAACTGAACATATTTTTTACCTACTTCTGTATATACTTCACTTTTGTGGCTTAATAGTATCAATTTACAATGAAATTTACATAAAATATTTGCAAGTATACCATGGGGATATTTTTAAGTTAGAGAAAAATGGATTTTTGTTCACATTTATTTTGGATATTTTTTACAAACATAGAGAAACTAATTTAAAAAAAAAACAGATTAATTACATATATGTCTACATTTCCACAAAAAGGTAGGCCTTTTACAGATAAATCTGAGGATTAAGGAAGAAATATGGCAAGATTACACACCTCAGTTTACATGGTTTTTGTCTGGAAAACACTCCGCAGCACTGAATAGTCAATGGCTCTTTTTGGTAATATGTAAAATGTATTTTAATTTTAAGTGAAGCAACAGACCTACACAATGAAAAATTATGAAAAAAGTATGAAAAGTATATTCTAGGATAAAAACAAATACATTATTTGAACTAGAACTCTGTATCTCAGAATTTCTCATGTGAAATACTTGAACATGACCATATAAGACACAAAAGGTTCTCTCCAGTGCTTAAATGGCTATCAGATAGTGTACGCTTCTTTTTCCACTAAAGTTATAGAAGGAACTTAACCATTTCTGAGAAAAGGATGATAAAATGGAGTATGCTTGAATGATGTCCATGTCACATTGCTAAATTTTAAAAAGTTCCAGAAGAAAAACAAGACTTTGAAAATAAAAAATACTTATGTTCCTATAAACACAGAGTAAATGATCTGAAAGATTACACAGAATTTCCTCTTATAGTATTATTAATATCCCCTCATTGTACTTCACTGCTAAACTATGCAATAATGTTTTCAGGTATTATGTGGCCTAAATCACCTACTTAAATAAATATATTCATTCACAGAAGCAAATTCAAAGGTAATGTTAACAATTATTTAGTATCATTGAAAATATTGAAGCATTTAAAAACCTATTAGTATTATCTACATGATCTGTCAGAGTATATTTATGAAATCTATATCATATTTAAAATGTCTGAATAAATCCATTGCAATATCAGTTGAAATTTCTACCACTGTAAAACTCTAAATACACGATTCCTGTGCTCTGTCAATATTTAATGATTAGTGATCTCTGCTGGGCAGCTCAAGAGGTTGAATTTGTGGTGATTTGGACACAACAAATACTTGTTATTTCACAATCTTTTCATTAACTCATGTCCCCTGCTCTTGAACTTAGGCAAACTTTATGCCTGTTGCAACCAGAAGAATGCAGTACAAATCATGCAACTTAACTTGAGAGGCTTTGTAAGAAAAGGAATATGTTCTTCTGCATTTCCCTCAGTGCTTTTGTGTCTGTCTCTGACTGTCTCTTTGTGTTTGTCTGTCTTTCCTTCTCTGTTTCTCTGCGTCTTTGCATGCTCTTTTATTTTCTCTACTTCTCACTCATTTTGAACCATGTACCCGAACTAAAGCATCTAAGAAAAAGAGACTAGTAGTGGGGAGACTACACAGATATGGCTAAAAAGACTGACAAGCATCCTGCTTTGATCAAGTTTTAATCAATTTTTGAACACTATACCAAAGTCCATTTGGGAACTTCTATGTGAAATTGTTTTAGCAGGAAATCTCTGATAAGTCAGGTTAACCACACC